ATTTATTTATTGTTTTGTGTCATACATGTATACGATGTACTTGTATAATACACATCCGTGCTTTATATTTCATGCCACTGTTTGTTTGTTGGTGCTATGTTAATGGCATTCTGCTTTGTCTTGTTTGCTCTCTTTTTTTTTCTCAAAAAAATCAGCTGATGGATTGATTATTGAAGTTGAAAGATATCTAGGTATTATAGAATCTTTAATGATAGTCACAGAATATCAGTATCATACTTGTCTGACTTAACACCCATGGTCAGCTAAATGTGAACCCTCCCATCCCTTCCAGGCTGTTCCAAAAATCTAGTCTCTGATCATTTGATATGTTGTTGATATTTCGGAATACCTGTAATTTATACAACCCAGCAAGGATATCAATCACCAAGTATGTGTTGTGAATGCCATGGTAACCATGCATAAATTATGCAATGAACGACAATGAATCGTTAATGACTTTGAAAGACAGGAAATTCTAATTCTATATTCAGTTTATTTTTCTAAAATTGCTACCATAAATGATAATTCACTTCTATGTTGTATTAACGGTTCGAGATTTTCCAGAGAATTGCAACAACACAATACTGTATTTTGCACGAAACATCATGGCGGAAATTGCTTTGTATAGGTAACACTGACCCTAATAATTTATCATAATAATAAATCATAAATTCGAACGATACGTAATTAATATTGTAATAATATTTGCATATTTTTTGGAACCATTTCTGTTTCTTCATAATAGTGTTGTGGAGAAAAATGACGATGCAGCTAATTTTGCAATTTCATTTTTTATCACCAAAAGGCTAAAATTATCATTTGCACAATTTTTTGAAAGGGGTGCTCCGCTAAGCACCCACGTCTCTAAAAAACACAATTTATGGAATTGAGCAACCTTGGCGCTAAGTCGGACAAATACGGTATCATGCAAAACATTTTAGTAGTAAACGTTTTATTTTGCTGTAAATTTCTATCCACTATGAAGTTAGGGATTGCGTTAACCTCATATTCTGTTTCCATGACAATGCAATATTTAACCTTTTGTACTTCAAAGTGAACTTTTGCCAACTTTCACAAAATAAACCACATTTCTTCAAACATTCTGATCAAAACTTGAATCCCTTGGAAAATTATGTTCGTTTTGTACAAAATTATCGAAAAATATATAATAATATGCAAAATGTTTTACCAAAATTTTAGTGGGAAAAATAAAGGCACTCGAAAGGTTAAAGGTACCTCTCACTTTGAAACAAGAATGGTTCATATTTGTAATAAAAGTACACAGAATACATTACATACTTTTTCAACAGAACTCACTGTATGAAATTGATAACGCAATCCCTGATTATATTAAAGCAACTCTCAATCACATGTATTACACTCAGTTATCACAACTTTAACTTATAGAGACTAGTATACAAATAAATGCTTTTATTAGGTGCTTAGCTTTGCTGTAAGCTTATCAGTGTTTTTCACAACATGAAATACTATCATATTAATAGATCTTTTTAGTCACCTCACATAGTAAATTCTATATTCTGTACTTCAACAATTATACCAAGCTGTATTTCTCTTCATGTTTCATTAATTAATTACTTAATTTCTCATTAATTATTAAATCTGGTGATGGTAATGTAAGTGTAGTGAGACGTTTAGTCGTACCGTGCTACAAGTCTTTGTGTTATCTCACAACATTCTTGAGTATTATATTTCGGGGGAAATAATTATAATTTTTAATATTGTTGTGTGAATTACTTACTAGATTTTGATATTCCAACTGAAATTACAAATAAATGTAATTTCTTTATACTTACTGATATCGATAATATGGTTTCACATCATTAGAGTACTAGATATATAAAAATATATTGTGGCAGTCAACAGAAATTGATGTGACAAAATATTAACTTTGCACTGTTTTAATATTGGAAGCATGTCATCATTCCCCTTCCCCAAAATGACTTGGATTGAATTGTCATTGAAACAAGGAACATTATTTTACCGACTTTATTACATTGACAAGTACTTATTGGCAATAAAAGCTTTCAACTCTTGTACATTTCACTGACTTTAAGTTTAGTTTTTCCACTACCACAATATTCATTGTGTAATAAACATGATTTCTACACACTTCCCATAAATTACAAGTTAGTATAAATTGATGCACAGTTAGAAGAAATAATAATCTTCAACGCAATTTGCAACATTGTCTGGAAAATCGTGTACCATCACATGTATGCACATTTGAACATAATTCCCATAATGCAACACTCACCACCAGATAGACATGCACTCTCATAAAAATGTAACTGCATTTTCTGACTGACTACTGTAATGGAGAAACTGGCATTTAAACAAAAATGCATGTTGCATCTTCTCATTTGTAGCTGAACATAAAAGTGGCGATAAAACCTCTGAAGTAGGTCAGTTGAAAGTAAACGCCGCGAATACCAAAGAACAAGTGAGACAGTCGAGTGTTAGACTGCAGGATGCACAGCAAAAGTTGAGAGACCTTAGTTTGAATATAAAGTAAGTCAATGTCAACAAATTCAATCAAATGTTTTTTAGCTAAGAATGTTAAACGTGTTTGTCTGAAATCGGGTGAGATATGAATACATTACATCATGTACATGTATGTTGACAGGTTGAAAGAAGGGCTTATCAGAGAACTTGTGAAGACAAGCAAAGAATCTGAATACATGAATAAGAAGTATTCTCAGAAAATCAAGACATTAGAAAAGGTCAGTCTCCATGATGAGTGTTGTAAATGTCATTTGGTATATATATTTTTGTCACCATCCAATATTTTGTCAACGATTCCTTAGCTTTCATGGAATTGAAAAAATGAAAGAGAATTTGAAGACAAATTAAATTGTCTGTGATCACTGTCGTCGTTGTTCTTGTCTAAATTGTTGATTCCTTGTTAGCTCCGCTGTTTCATATCCAACAACTTTCTCTTGAAAATTGCTTGCCCGGTAATGCTATAATAATTAATATTAAACCATAATCTACTACTTTTTTCAGATACCATGCATTTTACTCAAACACAGGGATTATGTTAGTGATAGACATACTGTAAAATACGTCATTTTAGCTGGAATTAATTTCTGCTGAATAGATATTTTGGGTATTTTGTATGGAGTTTATTTTCACTGATTTTTGATTAGTTGAATTTGCCATAAAATATAGGAACAACGATATATTCACTGGATTTTATTTTCACTTCAGCGAAAATAGCGAAAAAAAATTCTAAGCAAAAATAAAGTATTCTACAGTAGCTAACATTTGTAACCTTATCATTGCAAAAAGCCTTTAATTATGATCAAGCCTGATACCAAATTTGTTTTTGTAAATGTTTCTTTTTTAATTTACTTGTCAGTGTATGCCTATCTTAAAAAACTGGTAAAAACTGGTTGCTATGTAATTGTTTACGAGTCCTCATCGCACATCACACTTTCGTTATCAGTATCAGTATATGACAATTTTTTTTCACAGGAGTCTGAGCTAGCTAAAGTTGAGCTACACGAAGCGTTGAAAGCAATGAGAGAGTTAGAATCCAAAGAACACCAAGAGAATTTAGAAAAACAGAAATTACAGAGTGATTACAAAAAAAAAGTGGATGCTGCTAAAAGTAAAATTAAACTCCTTGAAAAACGTCAAAATGTAAGTGTACTCTATTATATTCTATTGCCCCCAAACTTGTATAATATTGAGATGTATATATACCACTATCCATATTTGGTCATTTTGTTCCATTAGCCCCAAACCTGCATAATATTGAATTGTTTTATTTAGTACATTTAACATCAATATTAACATCAACCAAATGTCATATTTTTTAGGTATTATTATTGTATTTTCAAACCTTCTTTCAGGATACTGAAAAGATTTTTAAAATGCAAGCCCACAGTGAGAAAAAAGTGTCTGATCTTGAACACAACATTGAAAAGATGAGGCAACAACAGGAGTTATTACAAAGAAGACTGAGAGAAGAAGCAGAGAGGAAAACAAAACTTGAGGTTTGAATATTCATCCTCTGTTGGGATCACAACATGTCATTACCCAATACTTTCATTAGAGAGTGTGCATTTTGCAAACCACCATCTCCCTCCTCACAGAATAGTATTTACTTTATTCACCTCTCATCTGTTTACAGAGGGAATACACTGTTCACCCTCCTTCGTGCAAAATGTTTCATTTATTCACCCCACCATCCTTTCCATGGAAAATGTTTACTTTTTTCACCTCACCATCCCTCAGACGAGAGGGAATATTTAATTTTTTCACCTCGCCATCCCTCAGACGAGAGGGAATGTTTAATTTTTTCACCTCGGCATCCCTCAGACGGGAGGGAATGTTTAATTTTTTCACCTCGGCATCCCTCAGATGGAAGGGAATGTTTCCTTGTTCACCTCACCATCTCTCTTCAGAGAATAATGTTTACTTGTTCACCTCACCATCTCTCTTCAGAGAATGA